TGAATTTCTCATAGAAGTCACAGCATATACACTAATGGGTTGTTGTTATTTGTTCATTTATTTATTTTAAAATCAATAGTTCTCTGCATAAAAACACTTTACGTAGTGTTAGGAATTGGGCTTCACTTGATCAATCAATGTAAAAGGAAATTTATAAAGTTGGGAATACATTTTTACTGTGATTAATGGACTATGAAACAGGAATCATGGCTTTAAAAAAGGCATTGGTGTTTTATAATATACTTACTTGACCCTTTTTTTCTCTTTAAGCCCAAACCTTGTCAGTATTGCAATATAATTGCGGCATTTATTGGCAACAAATGCCAGCGCTGCACAAATTCAGAGAAGAAGTATGGACCACCATATTCTTGTGAACAGTGCAAGCAGCAGTGTGCATTTGACAGAAAAGATGACAGAAAGAAGGTAAATCTCTGTGTTTTTCTTGATTTTTTTTCTTCCAGAGAAATTAAGGTGGGTCGATTGTATTAAAAAGACATATAATACCCTGGGTGGGTGGCTCTGTTGGTTGGAGCAGTGTCCTGATGCACCAAGATTTCAGGTTTGATCCCTGGTCAGGGCACATGCAGGAAGCAACCAAAGAATGCATTGATAAGTGGAATAACAAATTGAACTCTCTCTCTTTCTCTCTCTCTCTCTCTCAAATCAGTAAATTTTTTAAAAAAGGACATTACAGAGAGAATGTGTAATTGTACACCTGAAACCTATATAATTTTATTAACCAATGTCATCCCAATAAATTCAATAAAAAAGACATATAACAAAGACAGTTTTCTCACTTCTTCTATTTCTTTTATTGACCTTGAAGAAGATATTCAGCCTTTGTTTTCTTCATTATCAAATGCGGACGCTTACGTCTAACATCTCATGAGTTAGTATTTCATTAGAATCTGAATTATAGTGATCAATAGCCCACATAAGTGAAGTGGTGATTGGCAGAACTCTATAGAACTCTGTAAAGGAGAGATTGTGACTCAAGCAGGAGAGTCATACTACCTGCCAGTTTTATTGTCTGGCCCTTTAAATGTTTCTATCTATTGAAGTTAAAGATTGCAAGAAAAGGCAACATGAAGGGAAGCTGTGTGTGAAATGATGGTACCTTGGTGGAATCAAAATGTTTTATATTTTTTTCTGTTTAAAGCCACCCAGTTAGTTCCAGTTGTGCTTAGAGTAAAACTCAAACTCCTTTCATGGCCTGTAAGGCCCTACCTGACTCAGTCTCATCTGCCATCATACTCTTCAACTCTTGTTCCAGGCACACTGGCCATCTGTCAGTCTTTCAGACGTGCAAATCTCATTTCCACCCTGGCACTGGCTGTCATTTTGCCCAATACATGCTTCTTGAGAGTTTCTTTACTGGTTTTTCCTGTCATTTCTCAGTTCAGATACCACCTTCTTACAAAGACCTTTTACTAACTCCCTCAGTCTTTATCATATTGTCCTGCTTTATTATCTTCATAGCATATAACATTATGAGTTATTATCTTTTTTTAAAAGATTTTACTTACTTATGTTTAGAGAGAGGGGAAGGGAGGGAGAAAGAGAGGGAAAGAAACATCAATGTGAGAAACATCAATTGGTTGCCTCTTGCATGCACCCCAACTGGAGACTGAGCCCGCAGCCTAGGCATGTGCCCTGACTAGGAATCAAATGAGTGACCTTTTACTTTGTGAGACGATGCCCAACCGAGCCACACCATTCAGGACAAGAAATTATCTTATTTGCTTACATGTTTGTCCGCATCCACTAGAATGTGAGGTCTTTGTCCATCTTGGTCTCTGCTATATTTCTGTCAGTCTGACACATAGTACATGCACACTCTTTCTATAGATAGCTAGCTAGCCAGAAGGTAGAGATATGTATATATCTACCTAGATATAGATAGATGCATTATGTATGTATGTATGTATGTATGTATGTATTTTTTTTAGCCTGAGAACACTTTCTCATTGGTATTAGAGAGTCAGGAAGGAGGAAAGAGAGAGACAGAGAGAGGCAGAGACAGACAGACAAATATCGATGTGAACATTGATCGATTGCCTCCTGTATGCACCCTGACCAGGAAGTGAACTTGCAACCTGGGTATGTGCCCTGACTGGGAATCGAACCTGCAGTCCTTAAGTCTGTGGGATGATGCTTCAATCAACTGACCCACACCGGACAGGGCAGATAGATGGAGTTTAGATTGATGAGGGTCATACTTTATTGAAAACTATCTCCTTTCCCTTTTAGTTGTCTTATCTGACATGGCCAAAATATTAGTCTGAAATATATCTTCTGGCTTACTGTTATTTATTGAAAAAAAAAGATGGTTCTCATTTTCTATTTCTTTCTTTTAAAGATTTTATTCTCTTTATTTTTTTTTAAGGTTTATTTATTTTTAGAGAGAGGGAAAGGAAGGGAGAAAGAGAGGGAGAGAAACATCAATGTGTGGCTGCCTCTCACGCACCCCCCACTAGGGACTTGGCCAGCAACCCAAGCACGTGCCCTGACTGGGAATGGAACTGGCGACCTTTCGGTTCATAAGCCAGCACTCAATCCACTGAGCCACACTAGCCAGAGCTCATTTTCTATTTCTTAAAAAGTGACTAAACTGATTGTTTAATTTTTTATTTTTTAATTGAGGTTTAATTGACGTACAACATTATATTAGTTTCAGGTATATAATATAAACTTTGAAATGTGTATGTATTGCAAAATAATCACAAAAACTCTAGTTAACGTTCATTACCATACATAGTTAGAGAATTTTTTTTCTTGGTATGAGAACATTTAAGATCTATTTTTTTAAGCAACTTTCAAATGTACAATACAATGTTATTAACTATAGTCCCCATGCTGTACATTTCACCCCAGGACTTATTTATTTTATAACGGAAAGTTTGTACCTTTTGACTACCCATTTCACCTACCGCCCACCCCTACCTCTCGCAACCACCAATCTGTTTTCTTCAATAAATACTTTTTTCATGAAAAAATTCAATACAGAATCTCTTTTTCAGTATCCATAGGTGCTTTTTAGAGGTGCTTAGGCTCTCAAGAGCTGACTCTTGCTAACCAAATTCATTAATTTTCAATGGGAGGATATAACTTTCCAGGGACTGGAATACTCCTGCCTGCCAACCACAGCACCTCTTTCTTGAATCAAGATACTGGAGAGGACTTCCCTCCCCCTCTTTTTTCCCCCTCCCTGGCCTTCACCCAGGTGTGTTACCTTTACCTCTCTCTCCTGAGGTCCAAGGGACCCTTCTTTTGCCTCTATAACTTTTCCTGAGCCCATTTCTTCTACAGCCCACTTCTTCTACCTTTGTGACTTTCTAAATACACTTTCTCTTATGAAAAAAAGATACTGTAATAGTCAGGAAGTAACATGAAATAATGGTTGGAGCACAAGCTTTGCAATTCCTCAGGCCTGCGGTAGCTGAATGACCTGGGGAAGTTACTCTTGTTATGTAGCAATTTAATCATTTTTCCAATGGGAATGACAGTAGCTAGTTCACAAGGACATAGGGAGACTTAATTGAAGTAGATATATAAAACACTTAATTTTGAGCCTAAAACCCAGTTAATGGTATTGACATTGTTATTGTTATTTGGCTTATACTAGAAATCATTAAGTTTGTGCTTTCTTAGTTACAATCCTACCTTAAGAATATTGATATTTTTAGGCATCCTCAATCACATGTTCATAAATTTAAGGAGAACTAAGCTTAGAGATTGAACGTGGGTGATCTGGGTTCAGAATACCTGGGTTGAAATCTTGGTTCTGTCACTTACTTGCTGTGTAATTTTGGGCAAGTTAATCAGTCATTGCCCCAGTTTCCGCATCTGTAAATTAGGCTGATCAGGCCTGATCATTGTTATGAAGGTTGAGTTGTTATGTGTAAAGCCCTTGGAAAGGAATCTGGTACATGATAAGTACTCAATAGGTGTTATCTATGATGATTTCTTTTTTTAAAAAAAAGATTTTTTAAATTTATTTTTAGGGAGAGGGGAAGGGAGGGAGAAAGAGAGGGAGAGAAACAGCAATGTGTGTTGCCTCACGCACACCCCCTACTGGGGACCTGGCCTACAGCCCAGGCATGTGCCCTGACTGGGAATTGAACCAGTGAACCTTTGGTTCTCAGGCTGGCACTCAATCCACTGAGCCACACCAGCCAGGGCTAATTTTATATTTTTTAAGTTTATTTTTAAAGGAGAGATGTGAAATAAAGTGCCCTGTGGTTTGGTGTGCTATTTTTGTTTTCAATGCTGGCTCTCTTTCATGGAGTTACCTTGTTTTCAAACCCGTCTGTGGTGAAAGCTATTTACTAAGCAAGGTCTTCGGTCTTCTAGAGTGTTTTGGAATCAGGCCTTCTGGCCATATCCCATAACATGAAATGAACCAGATTGAAGTTTGGTTTCAAAATTCATTTATATGCTCATTAACAAATAATTAAATGATTATCATGTATCAGACACTGTTCTAGGTATTAGAAATACATTAATGAACTAAACGGAAAACACCTTAGTCTCATAGAGCTTATATTTGCATCTATGAGAGAGAGATGGGTGAGAACAAACAAGGGAAAAACTTAACAAATTTTAGATGTAAGCGCTATAAGGAAACAGAGTATATGGTAGAGAATGACTGGGGAGGCCACTTTAGATTGGGCAATCAGGAAGACCTCCAAGGAGATAATGGTTGGAGCTGAAACTGGAATGATGAGAACAGAGCCATGGCGTTTCTGGAAGGCAGAGATTCTAGGAAAGGGGATCATATATGAAGAGTCTTTAAGGCAAATGCGAGCTTGGCATATGGGAAGAACAGAAGGTAGAATGAACTAGGGAAAGAGACAGGGAATGAGATTATAGGGACAGGTAAGGGCTACATTTAAGTCATCATAGGCTATGGTAAAAAGTTTGGGTTTTATATTAGATATGATGAGAAACATTGGATTAATGAGAGGAGAGATGTAATCAGATTTACATTTAAGCCTCCCTTTTTTTTTTGAACATATCCTCAAGATTTTATTGTCACATAATAAAACAAAAAATGAAGCTTAGAACTGGATCACTTGGCCCTTTCTCTTCTTATCTCCTCCCAGTTCAAAATGCTTGCATCTCTTAATAGCCAACATTCTCTTAGATCTGCAGTTGGGCTCAACACATTCAAGCCTCAGCACAATCTTCTTTGTAGTTTTAGCCTTTTTTCGGGAAATTGGCTTAGTCTGCCCACCATAACCATTCTGCTTCCTGTCATAATGCCGCTTTCCCTGTGCATACAGAGAATCTTTGCCCTTCTTGTACTGTGTTACTTTGTGGGGTTGATGCTTGACGCACTTCTTACATAAAGTCCGGCGGGTTTTAGGAACGTTCACCATGCTTGCAAGAGCTCTAATGGCACAGAAAGCTAAGCCCTTTTTATCAGCTAGGTGAAAATGGTTTATAAGAGCCTAAGAGTGGAATTAGGGAGCCCATTTGCGTGACTCCTGCAGTTGTGAGAGAGAAGAGTGGCTTTACTTGGGTAGAAGCAATGGAGTGGGATAGATTCAGACTGATGGACTTGGTAGTGGATTGGAGGGTGGGATGCAAACCGGATTTTGTTCACAAGATTAAAATACTTAAGATAAATGATGGCATGGCCTACCCATGTTCAAGATGGTGTACAAGATCTAATTTCAGGAACAAGACATGAAAATTAAAACACCATAAAATATCATCGCACCCCCTTTCTCACTCTGCCTTTCCAACCAGCTCTGTTGCCCTGCCCCCTGGACCAGGCTGCTGCACAAACAGTTTTGCAGTCAGTGCTGCACGGAGGAACCCCAGCTTCAAAGAGTTTGGAAGCGCCATTCTGCTTTCCTAGCCCTGTGTCCTGCTCCCTGGTGCAGATCTGCTTCTGCCCAAAGGAACTAACTTTTTCTAATTCAGAGAGTCATGGTAGGCTCCCACCAGGGACCAGGCCCTGGAAACTACTCGCTCATCGGTCTTTTTCTGGGGACATTCTATCTGAGAAAAGATGTCCAGCATACCATTTTGTGAACCATTTATAAGGTGTTAAAACTGAAGTATAAATTTTATATTCCATTAAAAAATTTTTTATTATTGATTTTTAGAGAGGAAGGGAAGGAGAGGAACATCAATTTGTTGTTTCACCCATCAGTGCACCCATTGGTTGATTCCTGTATATGCCCTGACTGGGTGTTGAACCCACAACTGTGGTGCATCAAATATTTCATCTTCTGTCTTCTCTTCTTTCTGCTGAATTTTCCTTAAAAAGCACCATAGAGATATTTGTGTCTGTTGAAATTCTTGTGGAAACTTTGCTCTGCTCTGTTTGTTAAGTTGAGGAAAAACCAAACAAAAAGATACGTAAAATTAGAAACTCATATTTATTAAACAAGATTTATGTGCCTGATACCATGCTTTACCTACATTATATCACTAAATTCAGCAGCCCTCTGAAGTAGGTACTATTATCCCGTTTTACAGATAAGAAATTGAACCCAAGAGAGCTCAAGTGACTTGCCTAAGTTCACACAGCTCATAAGTGGCAGAGCTGGGACTTAGTCCAGAGGTTCTAGCTTCCTGTACTCATGTTTTGTAGTATCCATGTACTTTGTTCTGTCTTCTTTATCTTTGTCTCTGTGTCTTTCAGGTAGATGGGAAGTTGCTCTGCTGGCTGTGCACCCTTTCATACAAGCGGGTCCTTCAGAAGACCAAAGAGCAGAGGAAGCATCTGAGCAGCTCTTCCCGTGCCAGCCACCAGGAGAAGGAGCAGTACAGTCGACTGAGTAGTGGTAGCCATTATAACAGGTAACCCTCAGGTGCATAAAGTAGGACTAGAGGTGCTGGTAGGACAACTGTAATGCTCACACAATTAGCCATGGAAGATGCCATTTTATATAAATTTTTCTATTTTTTTCCTCTACTTACTAACCTATAAGAGGAATCTCCTTTGTCATGTTTTACAATTCATGTATTTTCCAAGAGCCATAGACACTTCCATAAGTGACTTTGTTTGTATCATGTCTGAAAAGTTTGTAGTACTTATTCCGCTTTCTTATGTAGTGTTCTCTTCACCCTTAGAATGGGTTATCTCCCTAAAAGATTGGACATTTCACTTTCTAAGAGATGTAGCTTTTTTAAGTGTATTTGGCCAGGAGGTCGATAGATGTTCTAGGTTTTTCCTGGCAGTGTTGTTAAGAGTTCTGGCTCTGGATTGAATCCTGGCTTTTCCAGGTTCTCTGCATGAAATCTTGGGCAAGTTTTTTCCTCTGTAAAATGAGAGAAATAATAGTACTACCTCATGGATTGTTGTGAAGATAAATTATACAGTTCATGCATAGTGGTTAGTTTTATAACTGGCATATAGGAATATATTTAGTTACTCTTGGTTATTGTTACTATTATGATTTTGTTTATTCATATAGCAAACATTAAGTACTCTCATGGGCCAGGGACTCTGCTAGGAATACAGAGATGAATAAAAGAATCATGCTGCTCACTAAGAGTATGCAGTCTGGTAGGGAAGACAGACACAAAATCAAATCATTGCAGTATAATTCTGTGGAAGCATGGAAACAAATTCCACAGTGGAAACATCAAGATACAGGCATGAGAGGCAGTCGTAATTAACTACCTTAGGAAGGTGGACAAGGAAGGCTTACAGAAGAGCTGGCCTTGGAGCTGTATCTTAGGCTGAGTCAGAATCATCAGGTGAGGTATGGGTAGAGGCAAACTAGGGTGAGGGAATAGCATTTGCAAAGACAAGGAGGACGTGAGACCACATGGAACACTGCAGAATTACAATCCTCTTATGTCACTGGAGCTTACGGTTGGGAGCTGGGAAATGGGAGAAAAAGGGACTCTGTAGATCTGGTAAGGATCATGGGGTCAAAAAAAAAAAAATTAACCCTGATTATTGTGGAGAATACATTGGAGGAAAAGAGCCTGGGAGTTAGATAAGAAGCTTTTTTTTTTTTTTTTTTTTTTAAGATTTTATTTATTTATTTTTGGCAAGAGGGAGAGAAACATCAGTGTGTGGTTGCATTTTGCACGCGTCCTGCTGGGGACCTGGCCTGCAACCCAGGCATGTGCCCTACACTGGGAATCAAACCTACAACCTTTTGGTTTGCAAGCCAGCCCTCAATCCACTGAGCCACACCAGCCAGGGCAAGAAGCTTTTTTTGTGAAGTCCAGGTAAGAGATGTTAATATAAGAACTTCAGTGAGGCAGTGGCACTGAAGATAAACGAGACAGATTCAAGAAGATACTTTAGAGGGAGAATGAACGGAAAGATGGACAGGAGCTGGGTGAGTAAAAGGATAAATCTCAGGTTTCTTATTTGGATGTAGTCAGACCCTTAACTTACAGAGAATATAGGAAGGGGAGAAGAGAAGTTCAGTTTTGAAAAAGAGTTTGAAGCATTAAAAAGAATTATTTAGTGGGAGCTAAGCCTAGAACTCAGGAAAGAGCTTCAGGTACCGGCCATTGTTTACACTTTAGTGGGAATAGAGATTATTTAATAATGCAGATGCCTGAAGCCCCCCCTCAGAGTTTAATTTAGTAGGATCTAGGATAGAGTCCAGGAATCTGTATTGTTTTATAAATATCTCAGATGATTCTGATGTAGGTGATCTGAGGAATCCTATTTCCAACCCCTATGATTGGTTGTTGATGTAACTCAAGTTGAAGGCTGAACACAGAACTCTAGAAGCATTCAGGAAGGATGGAATGAAGGTTTGCAAACCATATATCTGATAAGGAGTTAATATCCAAAATATATAAAGAACTCATATAATTCAATAGTAAAAAAACAAACAAACCCCAAAAACCAGTAAAAAGAAAATGGTTAAAGGACCCAAATAGACACTTTTCCAAAGAAGACATACAAATGGCCAGTAGATACTTGAAAAGGTGCTGAATATCACTAATTTGTCAGGGAAGTACAAATCAAAACCGCAATGAGATATCACCTCATACCTGTTAGGATGGTTAGTATCAAAAATACAAGAGATAGCAAATGTTGGCCTGGTTGTAGAAAAAAGGGAACTCATAACACTGTTAGTGGGAATGTAAATTGGTACAGCCATTGTGAAAAAATGTATGGTGGTTCCTCAAAAAATTAAAAATAGAACTACCATATGATTCCACCAAGCACTTCTGGATATGTATCCAAAGGAAATAAAATCAGTGTATCAGAAATATTTGCACTTCCACATTCATTGCAGCATTATACACAATAGCCAAGACATGCAAACAACTTAAATGTTCTTCAACAGATGAATTGATAAAGAAAATGTGGTATATATACAGTATGGAATATTACTCATCCATTAAAAGGAAGGAAATCCTGTCATTTGTGACAGCATGGATGAACCTGGAGGGCATCATGCTAAGGGAAAAAAGAGAAAGACAAGTATTGTGTGGTATCACTTTTATGTGGAATTAAAAGAAAACCCACCAATGTCATTGAAATAAGAGAATGATGTTTGCTAGGGCCTGGAGCAGGTCAAAGGGTAGAAACTTTCAATTGTAAGAAGAGTTAAGTTCTGAGGACCTAATGTACAGAAGAGTGACTATAATTAATATGGTATTATATACTTGAAAGTTGCATTTTCTCCATAAAAAAATAAAAGTTAATTATGTGAGGTTATGGATGTGTTAATTATCTCGATTCTGGTAATCATTCCATAATGTGTATGTATATCAAAATATCATATTGTATACTTTACATATATACAATTATATTTGTCAATTATTCCTCAATAAAGTTTTAAGAAAAGTTGGGGGATAAAAGGATGTCATGGTCAGTGGTATCAAATATTAAAAACACATCAAGTAAGAAGAGGTCTAAAGCATCCTTTGAGTTTAGCAATTGGACATCCATTAAAGCAAAAGGGTTGCAGACCAGTTTTAGAGGATGAACTTATTAGGGCTAAAACTGATTTTTAGCATTGTTGTGGAACTCAGACACCAGTAGATTCACAGAGACATAGTGAAGGAAAACTGGACAAGGAGTTCACATATGTCAACCTGGTGTCTAGTCCTAGCTTTACTATTAACTAGCTGTATATCCTTGGGTAGGTAGGTTAACATTAATGAGCCTCAGTTTCTGCAAAGTAGAAATAATATCTTGTATATACTTACAGGTTTATAAGATGCATGTGAAACATTGAATGTAAAAGTACTTTTTAAACTGTAAGATATATTATACTTATTGAAATTTCATTAACTGTTTTCATAGTTGTTAATTGGTCAGGTGCAGTATTTAATGAAGGCTGAGAATTTTGGGGACCTATGGAAATGAGCCACCCATGCATCTAGGACCTACGAAATCAACACCTTGGTGGATTTTAATAATCAAGAATAAATAGCTCTTGCATAGAAGAGCTATGATATTTCATTGGTCCTATTTGGCACTTTTATTGTGATGTTTTGGTAATCT